ACGGCTTCACCGATATGAGTTGAAGGATGGCCTCCTCTATTACCGGGTGGAGCCCAGTGAACCTCCACGGGTGGTCGTACCCAACGACGAGGATCTTAAATTCGACATCCTCGCGGAGGCGCACGACGCGCCCTCCAGCGGCCACTTGGGCCGCGAGAAGACCTTTCGGTCGGTCTCTCAGCCCTTCTGGTGGACCCACATGTACAAGTGGGTCGCCCGGTACGTTAAGACACGCGAAACATGTCAGCGGGTCAAACCCGCAGGGCACTTTTCGGCTCCGCTACAGAGCCTGCCCGTACCGGCTGACTGTTGGAAGTCGATGAGTCTTGACTTCATCTTTGGGCTTTCCGTCGACGGACACGGCAGCACCGGAATTTTGGTGTTCGTGTGTCGGCTGAGCAAGATGGTACATCTTGCTCCAGTTCCCGTCACTGTCACGGGCGAACAAATTGCAAGGTTGTTCGTCGATGGCGTCTTCCGCTATCACGGTCTTCCGGAGACGATTGTCTCGGACCGAGACCCGCGCTTCACTGCTGCGTTTTGGAAAACGCTGTTCCCTTTACTGGGAACTCGTCTGCAGATGACCACTGCGGACCATCCGCAGACAGACGGCCAAACAGAGCGCGTCAATCGAGTGCTCGAGGACACTCTGCGCAGTGTGTGCTCGATAGCACCACGTACGTGGTCGACGCAGCTTCCAGTAGTTGAGTTTGCGCTCAACAATGCGATGCACGCGTCCACGGGGCTCACGCCGTTCTACTTGAACGGCTTCCGCCACCCCAGAGTGCCTCTCACTCTTTGAGGAGACACTGACTCCTCTATTCTAAGTGGGGGAGAGGCTCGGAAAGCCCTTTCCATCCAGGTCTCGGATGTGAGACCAGTTTCGCTGCGGAAACAGGTGGAATCCTTTATGGATACCAAGCTGAGCATTGTCAGCAGGGTCCGCGATGCCATGGCAGCGGCCCAAGATAAACAAAGGGAGTACTCAGACAAACATGGACTAGGAAACTTAAGTATATTTGAGGTTGGGGACTTAGTGTTGCTAGACACGAGGAATCTATCTCTTGACACTGTCAGCTCTGTCGGCAGCAATAAGCTGAAGCACCGCTTCATCGGACCTTTTGCAGTCCTGGCCAGACATGGTGCGTCGTACACCATCGACCTTCCAAAGTCAATGCCGACGCACCCGACGTTCTATGTTGGACGTCTTAAGCGGTACTTTGACCCGAAGGGGGTTGCTGACTCGTAGACCCCCCTTGACCCCGCTCCTCGAAGCGAGGGCCGGTCACAGTCGTCGACGAGGACGTCGGAGCAAGCCTCGGTCGGGACGGCAAGGCTGTGGTCAAGACCGTACGCCGGAGGGGCTCCATACGAACGGACCCCGGCGCCATACGACGAGTACGCTGAGTACGCCGGGTACGCACCATTACGTCTGGGAGTGTACCGCGGGCGGCTCCGGACGTGGCAACAAAGCCTCGATCCGTCGGCGCCATACGCCGAGTACGCTGAGTACGCCGGGTACGCACCATTACGTCTGGGAGTGTACCGCGGGCGGCTCCGGACGTGGCAACAAAGCCTCGATCCGTCGGCGCCATACGCCGAGTACGCTGAGTACGCCGGGTACGCACCATTACGTCTGGGAGTGTACCGCGGGCGGCTCCGGACGTGGCAACAAAGCCTCGATCCGTCGGATCATGCAAAAGGCCTCGTCCAGATCGGACGAAGAGGCCCGGCGATCCACCCGCAGGTGCAGGCTCGCGACCTCTCGCTCCAACAGGTCCAGGCGGCCCGCAAGATGAGCGAGCTCGCCCTGATTCCGGGCCTGGGCGGCAGCATCGCCGCCAGTCCCAAGGCCAAGTGCAATCTCAAGCACGAGGACACGTTGACGGAGGCGGTCAACCTCAGGGCTCTGTGTCGGACCCGCAGCCGGAGCACTCGGACGAGAGTGGCGTTCGTGAGGCGCCGAGTACTCGTACTCGTACGAGGGCACCTCCGCCCCTGCTCGACCGGAATGGAGAAGTCCACTTCCACGTGGAGCGGATCCTCCAGGAGCAACGGCGTCTCGGTAAGCGACAGCGCCTCGTGAAATGGAGGGGTTATGCCCACTCCGAGAGCTCGTGGGAGCCGATTGAACGGCTCCTGATTGACTGCCCGAAGGCTGTCGCAATCTGGGAACAGAAGCGGCGGCAGCTTCATAAGTAGTCCGGGGCTTCTTGCCCGAACGGGGTACGGACGATGAATACATTCCGTACCCGCGCTCATCCGGAGCGCTAGTAGCCGCGCGCTTCAGGATGTCCCTTGGCAGCATGCGCTTGATGATGAAGTGGGCAAACCTCACACGAAGATCACGCTGGTCCAGGATGCAAGACAGCAGCTGATCTTCATGGAGATCCCGTAACTCCGTGGGTGAGTACTTAAGAGTCTCCACCCATGCTCAGAAAATGTCCTCACAAGAGCTCCACGTGGGACAGTTCTCGGGTATAACCCAGGGGTATCCTCAAAGAGGATAGAGACCACCCCGGGTCTCGGGCTTCTTACGACAAGTCGTGAAGTCCTTGAGAGGGATGCGGTGTGGCGCGAGAAGCACACTCCGAGCAGCCTCCAAGTTGTCGACGAACAACTGTTCTTTCTGAACAAGGGCTCGTTCATAGATGCCCCTAGAAGTGTGACAGCCCACAATGCCACGAGGAGCGACGAGAACCTCTAAAAAGAGGTCAGCCCCAGAGCTCTCCTCGGGAGGCCAATATCCTCTTGAGTTGATGGCAGCTCCCTGGTTGACAGGTGCTGCCACCGAACCCCCACGCACACGCTGGGCAGCTTGGAACTCCTCCTGCTGCTGGTCGAGGTCATTCGAGACCTCCCGGGGCTCAACGATCGCACCCTCCTCCTCTTCTTCTTCCTCCTTCTCCTCCTCTTCATCCGAGGAGTCGAAGATACTCTGATAGGAGTGTCGAGTCTCCTTCTCCTCGTGGAGTGGAGACTTAGAGGCTGTACGCTTCTTTGAGGGCTTGGTGCCTTTGGCTTTAGAGGTCTTAGCACGCGCAAGACCGTCGGCAAGCGAGAGACGTTTGCGAGGATTCTCTTCCTCATCGCTACCGGCTTTGGGAACGCCCTTAGCCTTGACGGCCGGACTCTCGGAGCGCACAGACGTTCTGGGACTGTGATCACCTTGATCACTAGCGAGCGACTGCACGCTGTCATCTTTGTGCTCACTGGGCACTGGGCTGTGCCCTCCCACAGAGCCCGCAGGAGCATCGTGCGTGCTCTCGGACTCGGCACCGTCCTCACTGCCCGAGTTGAGCTCATGTTCTACGAACCGAGGGTTCGGACGATTGTCTGAAGACGAGGGCGACGGACTGCGGCGCTTGCTTGCTCGCTTGTCCACAGCCGCGTCACCCGAGGAACCGATCGCCTCGGAGGCCACCTGAGTAGCCTCCTTGAGTGCCGAGCCTTTGCCGTAAGGCTTAGTGCTCTTGGCTTGCGCCTTACCGGCCGCAGCCTTGGAGCGTTTCTTAGCACCACTCTTTGCAGTGCCACGAGGCATGGTAACGGTCGAATTGGAGACCTAGACGAAGAGCGCACAGGTTGTTGCTCGAGGCTCTAACTGTGAAGTGGGCCTCCGCCGCGCTCATGCGGCCAAGTCGATGGTTTCGACTTTGATAATGAGAGTTTGTGACGAACACCTCTTCATTCTGATTGGTCGGTAAACCGAACCTAAGTGGGGGAGGATGTAACGGGGTACGTAGCCCTAAGTGTACCCTGGTTACATGAAGTGTGACACTTCACACTTCAGGTGTATGACACGTCATACTCCGGGATATTTGGTACAAGGTACCAAGGTCGTTCAAAGCCAACCATTGGTCAAACGACATTGCATTTCTATAGGTAACTTATAGTTTGTATTAAACCCAAACTTAACCTACCTATAAATATACTCAGTTTACAATCTACCTTATTTAGGTCACTTCGCTCTCTTTAAATAAAGTGAACTGCCGTTCACTGAGAGTTTGTATACTCTCGGAAGATAACTTCCTCTAGCGCAAGGTGCTGTGTGACCCCGTCAACGCCAGTGACGCGTGAAAGGGTTAAAACAGATTTGAGTGCGTGAAAAGTTTAAGTTGTTGAGACGCTAATTTTCATAAGGTGCTAAGGTATACCCGCTGCGCGCGTAAATATCGCGCTGACTACTACCTACAGATGCGCGGTCAGCTTGCCTGTATCACCGCGGTTGTGACCTATGCCCGTGTTAGTGACCCGCTTATGGATTGCTTTTAATTCGGATTTAAAAGTTGAACTCAATACTGTACGAACCCCAACAAGAACTTCAATTGCTTACATAATAATTACTTCGAAGTATCCTAGAGCCTACACGATTCGCAAAATGAATACGCGCTGCCATTTGGATTATGCGAAAGGGTTAAAATACACCAGAACAGTAAAAAACGAAATGAATGTTGACTTCTATTTTAGTTAATCATTCTAAATAGGACTTATATGCATGTTGACACTCGAGAACGCCGGATGTCATCCTGTGAGTATTTGCAAGACCAGTTTGAGTCTGTGGCTCAGTTCGTTTGACAACATGTATAGAATCAGAAACTTGTATCCAGGATAGTCGCACATGTCAAATACTCGGCTGGTTTGTCGGTTGGCCAGAAGTTTAGCTCCTTGGAGTCGTTTCTTTGTAGGTTTTTCCCATAGTATCCCGAACACATTGTTGAGTTGTTTGGCGATCGTTCTCGGAGGATAAAGTATCTTGGTAGAGACGCCTACTAAGTCGAGAATCGAGAGTTGTCACTCGAAGAAAGGTATTTTGTAGGGGAGTGGTGTCCTTGATGGTCTGGTGTACTACGTGAGCAAAATCCACAACCTGGGATCTACGGGAAGGGCTGTACGTTTAAGCAAAAAACAATAAAAAAACGACATGAAGGTATTGAAAGCCGGCTAAGAGATACCGTAAAATTACTTTCGTTATTCGAGCAACTGGGCTCAGACAATTTCTACGGGACTGGAACTCCTATAGCGTTGTGCACGGCAATCGAAACGCGAGCAGTAGCACGAGGAACAGCAGGAACTGCGCTATTATGCACCGGCGGAGCCGTAGGTGGCACCCGCGACGACAGCCATTCCCGAGCCCATGCCTGAGGCTGGAGGACGACTTGACTCCGAAATCGCAAATCAACAAATAGACACGCTCGTTATTATTCCCGGACAAGCGAAATGCTAGGATGTAGCTTACCTGTCTTCCATAAATGACTGGCAAAGATTGATTGCCAGCACAGCAGCGATGATCGCTGCTCCCTCTCCAGCGCACGCTCGAACGGCGGTGTCCATGCACTGTACTGATTGCGGGAACTGCACATGCTTGATCGAAACTGCGATGAGGTACCAGACAATGACAAGACCAGCGACCAAGTCTTGTGCGTATCTTGAAGTCAGCAGTCCCAGCACGATGACGACGCAGAGATACGAGACGTAGGTAGTGAGACCCAGATAAGCGTGATTCGAGTGCTGCATCGACATCGCCAGTTGGGTGAAAGCCAAGGTGGTAACCCACGCAAAGTACATTGAGATTGGGAGCTCGTTGCACAAGTACAGGATCCAATCGAACGGTCCGGTCTCGCGTGCATTCCGGTCATTAACGGCGTAGACGTACAGCACCAGAATGGCCAACCATAACGCGTAGATGATCACGGTGGACGCGTACACATGCCCCGACACATATAAGAACACCCAAATGGTGTTAAGAATACACGTTATGCCAAAGCACATCCGAAGTTGCGCTGGTTGGTTGGCGTCAGCGAACATCGAGTATCGGGGCGCGAAAACATCGACAACGACCAGCACCGCTTCCAGTGCATACACGAGGATCCACAGTACCAGAGCGTAGCTTGCAGGGGTGATCAGCGTCTCGTACTCTCGTGCTACTGCCACAAAGCGCTTGGCATACACAATGTTCACGACTGCTTGCATCACAAAGAGGGCGCCATTGATAAGAGCGAAGGACGTGCCTTCCATGGTTTTTAGTGCGGCCTTGACAACGAGTGGGCAGAAAGAAAAGTGACGAGCAAAAACTTTAACGGTTTGATTCTGTAGCTTCAAATATTCCGGACAGTTAAGATGCCTCGACTACAACCAGAGACAGGAAATCTGCTTCACACTGTCCCATACACAGCGATGACTACATGTTCCTCACTTCTGGACGAATCTTCACTGTCACGCGCAAACTAGATACTAGAAGTTAGTGTGATGTCTTCAACTTCAAGGTGGATAACGGTGGTGCTTACATTTTGGAGAAAGTGACAAAGACTTCGGACGGCGTCAAAGATCAGCACTAGTAGAAACACTGGCTTTATCACCAGAGCTGCGGTCTGTAGTTTCTCGAACGTCTCCTTTGCGTCCCCTTCAAAGGTGCATTTCCTGTATGCAAGACCAACGAGGAACCATGTAGCCATCAGTGCCACCACAGGGTCACGACTCTGCATGTAAAGTCCAAATGCCAGCGCTAGCATCGCCCCCATGAGCTGAACGTAGACGGTGTAGCTGAAGTAGTCGCCGTGTAAATACTGAAGCGTATCAAGAACCCCGAAGATAACAGCTCCAGTGAGCCACGTGAAGTATAAACGCACTGAAAATTCCCCCAGAGTGAAGATAATGACGTCCACGAGGGTGTTTGGAGCTCGATATGATCGACTCAGTACCAAGTAGAACGGAAGGGAACCGCACCATACGAAGAGCAGCGCAATGGGGGCTAAGCACCTTCTGTCAAGCAACATTAGAGAGTCCCATAGTATGGCAGAAATGGAGGTGACGCCTAGTGCTAAGCTCAGGAACAGAGCTTCACGAGATGCTGGAGTGGAGTATCGAGCGATGAAGGTGCCGGCTGTGGACTTGGGTCCGAGCCAGACTCCAAACGTGAAGCACAAGAAGAGCTGCATCCAGACACACAGCACGTAGCTTGGAGGGGCCAGCAGATTGAAGAGATCCTGAGCGTCAGTTGCGTTGACTGCATCGAAATCGGTAGGCACTGCAGCCGTCGCGGCGACGATGAATGTCCTGAGGCAGTCGGTGGTCACCATGATTTGCAACACGAGGAGCGTGGCCTCCAGCGCCATCAGTGACACAATTGGCATAACAATGGCTGCCTCTTAAGTTATGGAATGAAGTTGAAGCGCCAGATCGGAAGGAACCGCATCACCTGACGAACTACAGGTACTTTTAAACAATACAGTACGCCGTACGGTATTATATAACGGTACGGTGATTAGAGCAACGACAAGACGATGTAAAGATGTGGAATACTGCCCTCATGTTTCACTCTTCCAAACTTCGGAGCTGTTGTATTTATGAGAAAGGCGTAAGAACTTCGAGATCCCTCGACGGCGACATAAATTATGTAAGCTTGTCAATAAAAGGAAACATTGTAATAATATTGCTAAAAGAAACCAAGAAGCAGCCTTCTCATTCGAAAACTTCAGCGGTTCCGTAGACGGTGTATAGACGCTCACTACTTTCTGAAGAGTAAGCCTGTCAACGTTGGCCTCCAACTCACGAGTTGGCCTCCAACTCAACCGAACTCACGATAAAACCCTCTTCAAACAGATAACAGTTTTAATGCTCGCTCACCAGGATCAAGTTACTGTGTGGCACGATCACAATTTGTGATTCACAAGTATCAACATAAGCTGGAGGTCAGCTAACCCGCGTAAATCGGTAGGTTTTAAAATGCAGGTGTTCCAATGGTTTAAGAAAGTACTCGTAGCTACCTTAAGACGAACTTGACTTACTTATGTTGGGGATACTCGTATCTTTTTCCGCTGGTTTCCACTCGGGGTATACAAAATTGTCGTGAATGAAGAGAAGATCGCGCACCAACGATGGATCGAGAGAGCTGCGCTTGGCTGTTACCGTATTTCCGGCTGAAGAAAAAGCACGTTCTGTTGGTACTGAGGTAGCGACACACGCTAACCATTTTCGGGCAAGTGGAGTCAAGTTAGGAAATTCGGAATCACGTGTTCTCCACCACTCCAGAGGATCGACATCAAATGTAACATCCTCCACCTCGTCCAAATAGCGGTACACTTCGGCTGTACAATGTGTTTGAATACGTCTCTCTCGAGTCGAATTTGTCGACATTGAATCGCGCTGTACTCGCTTTCCAAACACACCTTCGATAGCAATGGTGCGTTACTTCTTAGAAAAGGCTGAGGTTTCTTCGCATGGGATACTCTCGTCTTGATCACTCATTTGCTGCGCTAGCTGTATATGACCCAGCATTGCCAAGTCGATGGTGGCGTCAATCAGACCATTTGTAGCTTTGACCGCTTCTTCCCTGCTAAGGCCCTCCATGTTGGTCAGTCTCGGGTCCAGATAAGAAATCCATAGGAGCTCTGCAGGAATATCTTCGAAGCGCTTTCGAAAGAGGTCCGAAAAAGCTAGCCGTACGTTTGTCATGAGATCAAGCACAGCGTTCTTGTACGAAGCGTTCCGAACGCGCGATGCCTCCTTATCGAACAAATCGTCTCGTTCAAGTGTCCTTTGAATCTGCCGAAGACACGGATATGCTAGAGCAAGAGTAGGGTAGCCTTGGCCACCAAGAAGCTCTGACGTTGCTGCTATGGGATCCAATATTACTAACAAACACGTGATTGTGAACCAGTCTTTGCCATCAGGCTCGAAGAGACTTCGTGCCCGATCAAATTCCTTTTCACCCACAGTAGAACGAAGGTAGCAAAAAAAACCTTTCAATGGTTTCTTCAGCTCCACCATTCGAGCCAACATGTTCCTTGCGCTACTCCACCGGGTAGGACAGTCCGTCACTACCTTTAAAGGCTGTCGTTTTTGTGGGAACGGCTCATCAACTGCATACTGCTCTCGTTGAATCTCGTCGGGCCGATTTGTCGCCTTTTGAGAGGAGTGAAAGTACACTGCAAGACTCCGAAAGCGCTGGACGAGATCGCGCACTTCATTAAGCGTAAATAATTGCTCCAGATGTTGCCACTCGCTAAGTAATTCGGCCAGCTCACCAATTGCTCGTTCTTGTTCCCACGGTTCCGCTTCATTCTCCCCCCGCACTGTACCGGCATCGGTGTGCGCCAACGGAGAGCCAAAAGCCACCGTAGTTGGCTCGCGTAGTGGCGATAATACCGTAGTTACCGAACAGACTGCAGCCTCGTCACCCTTCGCCTTTCGCCGAGCTTTACGCTTGATGAGTGCACCCGCGACGACAAGATGAAGCGAATGAGCTATGCAAGACATATGCGGAACTCCGAACAACTCGCACGCGAGAACACCGTTGGAAGCTCCGTCGCGGATAAGTTTCATACAGTAATTTGGGTCTAGGCCTGATTGCTTGAAAAATTGGGTCAGACTCTCTGCAATGGCCTCACCACTGTGACGACCAGGAAAATGAGCAACTTCTAGAGTCCAATTGCAAGGACGAAACTGTAAATCCAAGTAATGAAGCGTTAGAGCAGCATAACTCTGCATAGTTAGACTTGTCCAGATATCTGTAGTCACGGCATAGTATCGACAGTTCTCCTTCATCATTGCCTTGGGCTCTGTCCGGAGTTCTATAGCAAGGTCGACGATATCCATTCGAACACGTGTCCTCCCGGGGATTTTTAACGAGAATCCTCCAAGTTTTTCAATAACGAAACGGAAAAAGAATTCAAATCCATCGTCCTCCACTTCAACCAGCGGCCGCATGCTCGTAGCAAGCCAAAGACTAAGTATTGATTAGCTCGACTTTGCTGCTCTGGTGTCACTGGAACAACCTTCCGCTTCTCACCAGGGGTCCCTTTGATGAGACCCATCGCTAATGTCATCTTCGCTCGTTTCACTATAGTGATGCGGTTTTCACACGTTTTAAGATACTTTCGATGATACTTCTGTAGATGCTCTTTCACACGGCTTCTGCCAATACGGAAATCAACAAGCTGCTGCATATTGTGCAGTACGCCGCCTTAGCGTGCGCGTTGGCCAGCTCCGCCTTGTCCAGCCCTTCAAAGTCACTATGCGCCACTAACCGGACGAACTTGTACCAGTGAGGATTGTGAGCGCCCTTAATTTCGAACTGGACTGGTGGTCTCGGGCACTGATCGGGAGGAGGCTCAGCGTGGTCGTCGTTATCTAGAACATGGTCATCGGGGTCGGAGTGCTGATCTAGACCTTCGGCGACTTGTTGAGAACCTTCCTCTTGAACAACCGACCTCGGAAGAGTAGAAGCTGTAGGTGGTGGAGACATCATGAAGCGGAGCATGACCCGAGGCCTAGACGTCGCTACAATGTTGTTTCTTTTTTTCTTTTTGTTGCTTGAGCTCTTGCTGATGAAAAAAAGACGGCGATTCACATCGGTAGGCGGCGATGGTTTGTCGGATGTCGCCATGGTGTCTAACACGTCGGGGTCCAAGATTCAGGGCAATGGCCGAACTCACTTTGCCAAGTGAGCTGACGCTCACACTCGCTGGCTCCGTGGCCGTCGGCCGCCGACCAGCCGAAGGTGAAGGTGAAGAGGTCCATAAGCGCATGGACCTCGTCGACGCGGTCCATATTAAATGTGTAACTGACGGATTTGTTTAGAAGAATGTAAGGATACTTGCCCAAAAAAACTGGATCAAATCCTCCGAACGGTCTTAGACCTTGCACCGACAACTATATGGAATAAAGTAAAGGAAAAATATGGACAAGTCGAGCATGAGTTGGCAAAAACTCAGCTTCAACTCAAACAGTTCGAGTTGGAGTGACTTGGACGGGCCTCGGAGGTTCAACGTTGACAGGCCTACTGAAGAGTATGCAGGAGCTGAGAAACTCATTAAAGGGATTAGCAAGAAGACAGTAAGTATACAATGAAAGCGCCTCGCTTACCTTGCCCAAAAAATAGTAAAGGTTTTCGATAGCATTATCAATACGGATGAGTCTGGAGCAGCAAAAGTGCTACATGGCACAGGAACTGCGAAGTGGAAGGCGAGAAATCGGGTATCGTGAGGATGCTACCGGCTGACGCAATTAGAAGCGAAGGCGTAATAAATCCCCAGCCATTGCATCCTGGACTTGACCGTAGTTTCTGCATATATAATGAAGCCAGCCAAGCAAGATTAGTTATCGTATTAGCAAAAATGGTTTAGGTAATCGCACGTGAGTAGGAAGTGAAAAGCGTCACCAAACACCATCAATGGAAATAGTGGGGTGACAGCAACAGCAATGACCTGGAGTTTTTCAATCGTTTCTTGAGCATTGCCACCGAATGTCACCTTGGTATTGGCAAGTCCAACGATGCACCACGTTGCAACAATAGCAACCGCAGGGTCGTGGGTTGATAAGTAGGCTTGAGCTGCTAGTCCGAGGAGCCCACCCATTATAAACGCGTAGGTGGTGAAGCTGAAGTACTCGCCATTGAGATCCTGCAGGATATCAATGACTGTGACGATAACGAGGCACGTGAGTCTGCAGAAAAACAGTCTCAAGGTGAGCTCGTTCAATGTGCAGTGGAGCCACCAGCATTCCGGTCGACGTGCTGGAATCTGGTAGTACGTTGCAAGTCGATAGAGCGGCAGCATGATGAGCCACAGTATGAGGCTCAAGACGGCGGTATACTGCGGGTAACAGCGGAGAATTTGTCTCGTGACAATCTCCACCAAGATTCCCACCTGGCGCACGACAAAGCTTTCATTCGTCACGGTCATTCCAGGAAAGTATCGATGCTGAGGGGGGCGAAGTCTCCACGCAAGATGGAGGAATTCGTCTGTCGCTATTGGCAGTTGAACACCACGCACATAACTCGACGGTACCATCAGATTAAAGAGCTCTGTCGTGTCGTCTTTGCTCCAGATCACGACTTCTGTGCTGCAGGCTCGAGCAAGCCAAATGAACGTTTCGATGTAAATGATGCTGGACACCGTTCCAGTCCAACGAAGCTGCGTCTCGAGCTGCTGCATTGTAGTGCGTTGAATCTTGAACCCTTGAATGCGGAATTGGCTATTGTTGCAGCAAGATTTCTCTTACACTGAAGTAGCGCAACTTCAAGGGAAATCAATGCACTCGTAGTTTACCAGCTCAACTCGTTGAGTACTTGTGCATACAAACTTAAACTTCGACTACACTAGGCTTCATAAGTACTTAACTATAATATACCTCATAGTGCAGCCGTGGTCACGAGCACAAATGCTTTTTTTTTAAGTAGACGCTTTTACGATGTCGATGGACACTAAGGGCCCTTACCAAGACGACGGCAGTTACTTGGAAAACTTTTGTGTCATCCATGAAATCACCGAGGTGGATCCGAACAGAACAGCACTTGTCGCATCACACAGGAAGAACCGCAAGCGCAAAAATATTGCTCAAAATCAGTCCAGCTTAGTGACATCTCGCGGGCTCTCTTTTTACCCACTTTGACGGTTTTCCTGCCTACAACACTAAAAAACGTGATCTTTGATGAAAAATGGTGAGCTTGCTGGCATAGTATGAGTACATCGTTGGTACGATCACGTCCACTTTCTCCAACGAGCGGTTGACTTCAAGCATGTGCAATGTGCATTCAGAAGCGCTTCATACCGAGGATCTCCGCCTCAGCCAAACCGAAATTAACTTGTCGTAAGCAATTTGTAAGAAGACTACATAGATAACGCGGAAACATCATGCCAATCACACGAGACAGCTGAGAGCTTAGGCTCGTCGTGGCTCGCTTGACAGTCCCGGAAGTCATTTTGTGCTTTGAGCCTCGGATGTCGTCAACTAAGCAATTACAAAAAAACACTGATTTGGTTCTTGACGAAATGCTCGAGGCGAACATGTAAGTAAAAACTTGGTCAGCTGATGACTGCTCTCTTCTTACTTTTAGAAACGAAGTCAGGTATAATAGGCCCTTTGATAAATACTCCCAGAAACACTACTTGTAGTAGAGAAAAGTAGCTCAAAATCGTCCGCAGACCAATGTATAAACAAACGTACACTCCGACTACGCTAGGCTTCTTTTAAGATAGTTCACACGGTGCCATATTCAGCCGTGGTCTCGAACACAAATGGCTTGTAGTACTCGTTGCTGCTGGTTGGAACCCTGGAACTATACCGACAAATAGGCATGTGACAAAGTAAGTGTTAGGACCTACCAACGCGCAGGCAACAATACCCATAAAAACGTACGCTTTCCAATGGACGACGTAGACGTATCGTAGGCTGTCGATGAGAGCTAAAATCGGGAAAACGGGCGCAACGACGATGGCGACAGCGCGCAGTTTGTTGAAAACTTCCTGTGTGTCTCCAGGGAACGTCGCGTGCTTCGCGATTAGACCGAGCAGTGCCCACGTTACCACAAGACCCACAACCGGATCCCGGCCGTGGACATACGTGCCGAAAGCCAACAGCAGCAGCGCCCCCAGTAACATCGCATATACACTGAAGCCAAAGTATCCTCCGTGTAAATATTGCATCACATCGGCTATGCTGAATATCACGTCAGTACTGAGCCAGCCGAAGTAGAGACGCACGGAGAATTCGCTGCAGAAATAATAGATCCATGCCTGCGAGTATCTTGGCGTAGGATGACGCACCACGAAGAGGTAGAGCGGCAGCATTGTGCACCAGAGCACAGTCAGCGCAAAAGTAGCCATGTGCACCCAACTGACCCATAAATCAAGCACTATCCAGGACATGTTGGCCAGACATGCGAGCTGGAACCATTGTCGTAGGAAGCTCGGGTCGTCCGATGTGAGGTAGAAGCTGTAGGTCGGGTAGAAGCGATCGGTGATGACGGTGATGCCCGTGAAGATGTAGATTGGCACCCAGATGTAGAATACGTAGGCTGGAGGTGCTAGTGGATTGTTCGGCGTGAGTGTGGAGGCTGTAGGGCTCGCAGCGGGCACCAGTGCCATTGATCCACTGCTGTCCAAAGCTCCGGATGATGCGGAAGCGTGAGTTGAAGAGGGAGACCAGGAGCCTTCAGGAGCGAAAATAGAGACGCCGATGGCGACTGTAAGTTGGGCGAGGAAGAGCACGACGTTGGCGGTGGGCAGACGCTGCCCAAGAGAAGGAGGCTCCATCATAGCGACAGCACTGCAGATAAAGGTAAATGATGGACAATTTTGTCTGTGATTGGCGGGAAAATTCGAAATATGGCATCATGATTGGAGGAAAAATAGATTTCTGAGTCAAAAGTAACATGGGGACACTTGAGGGGAGCATGTGAAACGACATCAAGCTGCTGCCACGAATCTGATCGAGCCGTAATCAATGTCTTTAGTCGAGGCTTGGGAGAGTCTAGAGAGCCGTCTTGGGCGAGGCGACAGCGGCTTCGACTTGCTGGGTTGGATCACAAACCAGCACAGGTTAGAGATCGATTAGTTGCCTTGTTGGGTGGGTGAGAGCTGCCTTCGTACCAGTTAAACTCAATGACCCAGTAGCTACACGACACCAAAACCATGGCGACCAAGACTCCAGCTCCAAGTGTTGCAGTCGCTTGAATTTTCTCAAAATCCTGGGAAACTTGACTGTTGAGCTGTGAATCGTCCTTCGAGGTGACGCCAACGAGCGCCCACGTCACCACTAAAGCCATAATAGGATCTCGACCGAGTGAAAGGCCCGACAGCGCCATCACAAGAAGCACAGCTAGTATTGTAAGATATGTTGATAGCGGCAGGGAGTCGCTGTTGTTGATCTGCATCGTCATAGTCCAGCTCACCACGGCTTCCACCGTGATCCAGGCGAAGTAAAGTCGAATGCACAGCTCACTGCACAAATATTCATGCCACAACACGGTCTTGACGTTACGCTCGTAGCTGGCGAATACGTAAAGTGGCAGCAAAGTCAACCACAGCAGCGATACCAACACACTGGCACCCACGACGTGTCCGCTGGCCAGAACGATACACCACGTGCCGTTGACCACACAGGAAGCGGCGAAGCACAGCCGCAGCGCATTAGGCTTTGCGGCCGAGTCGTATAGCGACAGTCCAGCGTACGAGATGTCAGTAATGAGTAGAATCATGCAGAGCAGGTAGATGACGTTCCAGATGGAGAAAGCGTAGGCTGCGGGCGTCAGCAACGTGTCGATCTGTGAGCGCACGTCACCCGCGTCGCCCACCGCCAAGCCGATACACGTCAGCAGCGATTGCAGCCCGAAGAAGGCGGCGTTGACCCACGGGAGCCGCGCCGTCTCCTGCAATGTAGGGCGCAATGTGGCCATCTCCTCGTGGGGTCTTCGGTTCTTTTTTCAATATTAAAGCTGATCGCTTGAAGTTTTACTGCTGCTTGGACGTATCCGATTTAGGAGGGCAAATGATGTATTCGCAAAATTTATGCTGTTCCTAACTTTGCTGGAAGGGAAACTTTACGCGTGGTTGGTGCCGTAGTTGACGGGTTTGTCGCCATAGAGAGGTGCGCCCAATTGCAGAGGTTGGAAATGTCTGTGAGTAGAGAAACGGAGTTAGCAAACTTTGTACTGAAGTACCGGTATCTTTTAAATTGCAGCACTTACGTTTTGGGGGCCATCAACTTGTGCGCAGCGGAGATGATGATGAAGGCGGCGACGATAGCGGCACTCTGCGTGGCGCATGCGCGGATGTTCATCGCGATGAGCTCAACACGCGCATCCAGCGTGGTGGTCTTGGAAGCAAGGCCGACCAGCGTCCAGATGACCACGAGACCGAAGGCGACGTCGCCCTCGTAGATGACAGCGGACAGTGTGGCGACCGCCAGCAGCGACAGCAACGCCACATACGACGTCAGCGACAAATAGTCACCGGCCACGTACTGTGCCGTTACGGCGAAGCTGATGAGCGTGGCGGCGCAGGTCCAGGCAAAGTAGACAATCAGACCCAGTTCGCTGAGCACATAGCGCTTGAGGTCGAAGCCGGTGTCGCGGCGCTCCGTGGCGATATGTGCGTAGAGTGCGAAGAGCGAGAGCCACAGGATAATGAGCGTAGCGGTGGCCACATTCACGTATTCGTTGGTAAAGAAGACGATCCACGCCATGTTCATGAGGCAGGAGACAGCAAAGAGCGTGCGCAAAACGTTGGCATTGGGGGCACTTGTGTAGAAGGAGACCGAAGGCCAGAAGCAGTCGACGACGACTGTGGCAGCCAGAAAAGTGTAAATAAATCCCCAAATACTGAACGCGTAGGGCGCTGGCGTGATGAGCGTCTCGTAGCGACGCGACATGGGCCCGATGTTGTGCGATGAGAACCCATTCACGAAGAGCTGCAGCGCGTAGAGCGCCAGGTTCACCCAGGAGAGCAGCGCCGTCATTCACGATCCGTCTAAGATAACTTTGGTTCTGGCGGAGATTTCCAGAGTGACTGTCACTTTGACGTACGGCTAAAAAGTGTGGCGACGGATAAAACGTAGCGATTTGCGATAAAAACAAGAGCAATCCACTGACATTTATCACAAGGATACATGTACCGGTATCCTGCAATATCTGGAAGTGGTAATGTTGGGTGATGCTGGTGCGAAGTCCACACTTTGCCGGTCGAAAGCTACTATTTGAGGCGTCACTTTTTCCATGTATTCGTCTCAACAACTACAATACGCTAGCTAACTTACTGGGGATCTAATAAAGTATCTTGACGTACGAGCCACCTCACACCATGCTCGTGGGGTAATGACACGAAGGTGCGCGGATTGATGGCGCGTCTCGGTTCAGCGGCGCTCGGTGGTTGACGTCGAAGGTCATGAGGCTGCAGAAGATGGCAAGTTCCTCGCAGCCGAGCGCCAGTGGGGCCTCATCGAGGCTGGTAGGCAAGAATACCTTCGCGTCGAATTCTTTCTTGGGCTTGAAGACGCTGCTAGTTACTGCCGCCTCTACGGTGCGCGGCGAACTCTCGTCCAAGTCGAGGCTGCAGTTGTCGTCCTCAGAAATGACGGACGAGGTGGACGAGATAGACCCACAGGAAGAAGAAGCTACACCAGACAATTTGGAGCGCTGCATACGCTTCTTGCGATCCAACTTCTTCTGGTTTAGATTGGCTCGCTCGCGATGGAACTCGCAGAGCTTGTGTAGCTTCCCGTTGCGCTTAATGGCCTGCAGATTCGGGCACTTGCCGGTCCGGTAGCCACACCGAGCAGGCACGATTGAATCTGCATTGCTGAGGAGAGAGGAGCAAAACTTGTTGGCACTCGACATCTTGGTCTTCATCTTGGTGGCAGCACGTTTTCCTTGTGTACTACGAGTCGAGGTTTTGCTGTTGGCTGCAGCGCGAGTCTGGTGGCTGCCGGCCCCATGTGAAGCTGGGCCGAACAGCATCCCCAGCTCCTCCTCGGTCAGCGAAATGGCGTCCAACATGGCGACCAACTGCTACGTTGAATGCAAAATCCTAAATGGGGACCTCCTCCATTGAAGAGCAGGCAGCTGCTGATGCTTGTGGGTTGCGCTTGACAGGGTAGCAACATAGACTGACCAACTCCATCAGCGTCGAGTTCCCGCGTATTTCAGCGTTGGTGTGATTTCACTGTGGGACGATGAGCCACGATGAAATCAAGCAGCTTGCTCACGAGAGCGAAGCGAGCGACAACCGAGACGCGGTGAGCGCCAACCAAGCAATCGGAGCCTACGGGACCGTGCGCGATCGGTGGCGTGCTGCTCTGGTTGGACGATGATGACTTCCTCTTCACGGATCTACGTAGCGAGCATCGAGCATGACCCCGTCGCAGTAGATTGGCATGGACTCCGCGCTGTATGATCGTGTCGGTCTCGCTGCTCCGGCTTTCCGGGGGCTCTTGAAAGCTTAGCGCAGGTCCCATAGATCTAAAGCTGGCATGGACTCACGCCTTGGCCAACGATACCCGCGTCGCAGCCCTGGCGAACGCGTTCGCGTTGCGTCGTCCTGGATTTATTGCTCTGCATCTTATCTACATGAAAGATGTGCGGTCTGTTTGCTTTGTGTCCCAACACGCTGCCGCTTGATTCTCTCGCTCGCAATGAAGACACCCAACCTGCAATCAATATTTCGGTGTTTGAAATGGTCAGGACCAAGCAGCGTTGGCGGTTTGTCACAAACCAAACTTTGTGGGCGACCCCCGCTTGTTTGATCAGCTGCGAATTAAGCGGCCACGCCCTCAACAAGCGAGTGCTGTTAGACAAAACTGTAGGTAATCAGGTGAAGCATTGAAATCGACAGCGGTGGACTTATCTGCGACTGAATTGCAGCGATCGATGTTCGCAGTGACTCAGTTCTGCGTCAGCGTGGCACTTATCCATGACGTGTACTCTTTGCGTTGGACGTCAAAAGATGCGACGTCCCGTTAGTATCTGATGGTTAACTTCACGTAACACGTAGCACTACCAGGTGCAAATGACATCAACATTGCTTCGTTGTTTTATCTATGGCATCGCTCTCTCTACGACCAACTCGTTGCGGTGATTCGCTTCAGCTGGAGTTGCTGCTCGTAAATCGGCAACTGGCTGAACGAGTCCATTCCCGCAATGTGGACAGCTTTCGTCTTCTTCATCGAAAGCTGTCAAGTCTTTCCGAAAAGGGTTGCGGCATTGCTTGCAAACGAAAGCCATTTCTGCGGCCGGTTGTTGTCGGTGATCGCTCAACTCGAAGTGACATTCACCACAATCGAACCATCGATTGCAACATGGCGTCTGGAAGGAAACCTAGAGCTCGAAATGAGTACAGGAATGCATCAACAAGGCAACGGGGGAAGCCAACCTGGGCGTTGGGAATGTGCTTGCACATTGTCAAAGCGTTCCTGAAATAAATGCTGCCATGTAATTCTGGGATCGATTCGAAGTCTTCTATTCCGAGGCATGAGATTGTGCGCGAGTACAAAAGCTCGATGGCCTGATTGGGATGGCTTTCATTATAAAATTTTGCATTGAAGCTTCAAGTATGGCGTCGGCTTTAATGGCATTTGTGCAAGGTCTTGGGACTGAAAAGCAAGAGAAGGAAGGCAAAGGGCAGCCAGCAGAAGTTGATGAGGATGAGGAAGATATGTTCGCTGACAGCGGTGACGAACAGGAATCACCAAAGAAGTCCTCGACGCTGCTGGAAGTAGCCAAACAGGAAGCGGTGTCCTCATTGATGGGTGTAGCCAAGAGTCTGGAACTGGAAGCGCGTGATGATCGGCCGAAGCCTTCGCTGACAACTCTTGCCGCCGAAATTAACCAAGAGGAGCACGAACGTCTGGCAACAAAGACCCAAACGAGCAAGGTTCAACGCGCTCTGGATGCTGCAAGCTTCGAAGTCAGAGCTGAACGGACCGCGCAACGCAAAGAGCAGGTCATGACTGGCTTGAAGGCTGCCGTAGCAGAACAGCAGCAGCAATACGAGGACGAGGACTTTGAAGACGACGCTGCTAGTGTCCGTGCAGCGGCCGAAACTCTGGCTGCAAGTGTTACAAAGGCGAAGTCAGTCGTTCGAAGCCGCTCAAAGCCCTTGAAAGGTGCAACTTCAAGTGCGTCAATAAGCAAACTCGAGTTGCAGCGGGCAATGCAAGACAAACTGAGCACCTACCAGCTACAGCAACTGTCACTAACCCAGCGACGTCTTTTTCTCGCCTCAATAGCCCAAGGAAGCACCAGCAATACGAAAGCAAAGAAGCGTGTAGCTAACCGGGAAGCTTTGAATGAACTTGCAAAGGACAAATGTACTCGAGCTCGTCAGCAACGCAAAGCGCGCCATGAGTTCGCGCGTTTAGATGACAACCACAACTGTCGATTCACTCCTCGTTTGCACAATAGTAGTATCAAGAAGACGACAACTAACGACTCGGACGATGAAGACCGAGAAGACAATAGAAATGCTGCCAGTCGACGGAACGAAGACTTCGTACGACGTATGGAGGCGTCAGAGCGAGCTCGTCGGGAACAACTCCGTCGAACGCGAGAAGAAGCGGCGTACTTGGCCCGTGTGGACAAGAAGGAATGTCCTAGCTGCGGCAACCCTCAATCGTACTCGGAACTGACCCAGAAGCGCAAGAAATGTCCTAATTGTGGTGTCACGTACAAGAGCCGAATCGCTTGGGTAAGTTATTTAGATGCACAGTTGAAATTTAGTTGAGCTCTAATGTTTGTGCATAATTGTAGAGCGATGTTGCGAAGGATTTCCTGACTCGTATGGAGGAATTCCAGCAGCAACGCAAGGACAGGCAGCTCGAGAAACAGGAGGAATATGAGCGTCAGGAGCTGCAATATTGTAAACCCGAAGACGACAACGAAGACACGAGGAAAACATGGCAAGACATTCGTGATGAGTTCCTGGGACGTCTACAACTGGATCTGGAGTACCGCGAGATGTCTCGAGCGGCTATTTGGGAGGAAATCCAACGTGAATGTTCCTTCTCACCGTCCATTACGCGCAGAGCACAACAGGTACGTGACGCACACTTCAGAACATTGATACAATGAACTGATAATATGGCTATTCACGGTGGAGCAGTTAGAACTAGGAGACTTTGAGGCACGATATCGACGGGATCTGGACGAGCGTCGCCTGCGACGTGAACAAATTGCCGCCCGAACGGATGCTGCTGCCAACAGAGAACGAGAATCAGAGCGAGGCAATGCGCCAGTGACAGCTACGAATCGCTTTACTCTGTCCGCTCCATTCCAAGAGCGACTACGACAGGATATCGCGAAGCGAAGGGCTCGTGAAAGGCAATAGAAGCTCGAACACTTAGAAGCTTTTTAAAAAAAACCTACGGTCATTACAACTAGACCTTTTGTGTCACACAAATTGTGCATTTGGTTTCTTTTTACATTACTTTTGTCAAATACAATTCTCCAATCGTCTGTACAAAGCTTACTGTAGTACGCCCGAATAGAAGCACCTTTCCGATTAATGAGTGGCATCATTAAGTTTTAACGTTAAAAAGCATTTTTTTAAAGCTCTGACTCAGGGACCCAATTTGCCAAGGAAAGCATGCCTGGAGGTGGTCGGTCATCTTCGCGCCACGTTCCACCGCCACCACCTTTCGACCGCAGTCTTAATGAACCCGTGCGCGTGTATCCCTCCGATCCATGTCGTAGTGGGTCTCTCGCAGCGTTACAGTCGCTGCACACCAAGAATGTGGCGGTTGTGGGACTTTTGAGCACCAGCTCATCGTCTTCCTCGCACGCCTTCGCCTTCGCCAACCGGGTCATTGGCCGCCTCGTCTTCCGAGATGACGAAATGCAAAGTGCAACGACAGTGAAGGACGCCAGAATGCGTGCGAGTATCCATCTCTACTATGACGACGTGGCAAGATGTATTTATCTATTTGGGCTGGCACGACCCGACAATTTGTGCTTCAGTGTTCCTGCGACCAAAGTGGGGGTACCAAATAGCAATAGCAGCAGCAAACCGTCAGCTCGAAGACAACCCACGACTGGTGATGAAGCTGACGAGCAGCTACCACTGAAAGAAGAGCAACGGATTCACAACGAGATGGGTACATTTGAGCGTGAGAAGCTCAAAATGCAAGTACTGCTCTACTCCAGCTGCAATATGATAATAGTGCTGAAAGAAGACGCACGGGTCACTACGAACGTGTTGAAAGAGGTTCGTGCTCTGGCTGTAGAGAAGGCACAACTTCAGAGCTTTGTGCCGACATCGGCCAAACATTCCAAGCGTGATAGCAACCACTCGAAAGGCTCGTCGTCCTCAAGTGGAGGCAATGCGTTTGCCCCCGGTCGCTGTGTGCCGCTAGCGATGTATGTTGTTCCAGCACCCAACGAGATCTTGCAACTTTCAATGAAGATACAGGGATCGGGGCCTTCACGCTCCGCCACAGTAACATATTGCAAGTCACTAGAGGCGCGTTTGACGACTCTGTTCAGGTCACTACGTGGCAGTACCGTTGGGTCCTGTCGGATGCGTGACGCGCTAAGTGCCGCGAATATGAGCAAAGAACGGCGAGTGTTCAACTTGGACCCTGCACATAGCGTAGTCGTGGTTTCTAGACGCACAGCCACAACCGACGGACGACCGGAGGCGCTGCTGGAGAATTTTCTGGACGCGTTGGAAGCAGATACCAGCGCTGACGACGTGCTGAATGATGAGTCACTGCTGCAACCTCTGGTCGATGATGACATGGGACTCCAACGTCTGAACCAGTATGTGCAAAAGTATCTCGATCTGCTCTTCTCGTTCTCTCCAAGTGGCAGCAAAGACAGTGGACGGACAGAACTGCTGAGTCCACCGCAGTGGGTAAAGGCCTTCCACGGGTTGACCAGGAGCTACAGCCGGCTGGAATCCAAGAGGAGACAGGAGGCAGCGGCACTCGAAGCTTCGGACAATGACATCACACCGGATTATCTCGCCTCAGCGTCACTCGCGACGTACAGCTTCGACCCGATGGAGCCGACACGGTAGGATCGCAATGCTGTCGTCAGATGGCTACATTTGCTGACAAGGGCGGTTCAATAAACGAATAATCTATGTATTATGATGGGTTTCCAAAGAGCGTTACACAAAAACCTTTCACAAAAAAAACATGGACGAATTTGAGCTTACTGAATCCAATGAGCGTGCCTTTTATGAAGTACTACTTTTTCATCGTTCAAGCAGAAGAAATAACGGCAGAAGACACTCGCGTCTAGTCGCTGGCATTGAGAGATCCTCGCTGTGCAGATAGATCCCAATCGTCTGTCCAACACCAACATGTTCCTCCGATCACTCTACGGCTCGCGTATGCCCCAAACGCTCCACGTATGCGCTCACCCAGACTGAAAAGAACGATGTATCAATTCTTACCATTTTCTCTCTCTTCGTTTGTTGCAGCCGCGTGTGGACCCACAAGCTTCCAGCTACTGGGAAGAAGATACCACCAGCTCTCAAGAAATTGCGCGTGCGATGGAGGAAGCGGACACATCGGACGTTGAGCTCGAGAACGAGGGTACGAAGAAGAAGAACAGCGCTTTCGCGGCTGCTCTAGTTGGAGACGAGCACACCAGTCGTCGTCACGCGAATCCAACGCTGTCATCCCAGTTGGCTGCTCTGTTAGGACCTGACGGCATGGCACTGGACGACATGGACAGCTTGCGTGTAGAGGACATGGGATCGTCTCCTGTCAACGCGCAACTCTCGCCCGCTGGCCTTATTTCGATCGCTGCGGCCGACATTGACGAGGCCAACAACAATTCGCAGAATGTACCACCGGTCAACGGTGAACTGGACTTGGCTTTCATCCGCTCGTTGCGCCAGGCATCAAGTGTGGCGGATACGGACACACAACCTTCGCTGTAAGTGGAGTGGATGTACAGTACACGCCTGAATAATTCCCCGAAACTAACTTTTAGGTGTAGTGTTGTGAATGCAGCTCTTCGTCAACTACTTGGGTCCTTTCCGGCTTCCAGAGGCTCCGTGTGTGAGGACCAGGCTGATACTGAAGCTGTGGAGAGTGAGAACAAGCTCTTCTCACTGGTGCGTCGCCATCTCACGATGCTTGGACCCACGTCATCTTCAATTACGGACGAGAGTGAAGACAATGCTGCTGAGGGTCAGAGCAAACTCCGTTTCCTCTCATTGCTCCGTCGCATCAACGAGTTACGCTCCCAGCAAGTTGATGTACGCTCTCCTACCTTCGTTTCGCATTTATACCTCACTAACGTTTCTACTTGTCAATAAACGATGCAGACTGAGAGCTGGGACGGTCTTCCGTACCCTCAGATCATAGCACTCCCGACATTCAACTATCAAGTTCGTGAACACGTCGAGAAAAACCAAACGGAAGAGGGCGGCGAGGTTAATAACACGGTCTGTGCGGTGTGCTGCGATGAGTTCGAAGCGGAAGAAGAAGTGCGCGCTCTCCCATGTCTGCACTTCTACCACCGCGAGTGCATCGACCAGTGGCTCATGTGTCACCGCCAGTGTCCGATATGCAAGCATGTCGTTGCCGTCTATTAGGGCGTTGGAACATATTGGGAGCTTTCACTACATGCAGAAAGCTAGGAATGTAACCTCATTGTATAACAGGAAAGAAAAAGTTCATATGCCAAGGCGTTTTGCATGTATTCCTTCAGTCTCCTCTGCTTCCACACTATTTATTTGGGTCTTTTTCTCACTCTTGAGGACCCATTTTAGTGATCCAAAATGCGCAAATTACCCGTCACCACCTTGTTTTCTAGCACCGTTCCTTCGGGCAAGTCAATATGAGCACCTTCATTCGCCACAAGGATGACAGTTCCCTGCGACAATTAATAAATACACACGATGAGTTGTGCAATATGCCCCCATAATCCTGATAGACTGAAACTCACCTTGAGTGTGATGTTGGACCCAAACTTGACGTCGCCGGCAACTGTGAGGTGATCTAGCTCCGTGATGTTCGGGATGCCGAGTTCGAAGCGTGCCAAATATTCTTTCGCGCTCTGAAACTTTAGTCCGAGCTTCACGATCGGGATCGTAGGCGTCGTTCGTGCCGGGTTCATGATGAGACTACCGTGTTTAATCTGGTACAAGTTCGACTGCACGAGGAAGAGATCGGACGACGACTTGACAGGCAGGAAACGCGAGCGTGGCACCTTAAGTCCGATAAAGTTCTTGAAGAGGTGGATAGCCTCGCCTGCTGCAGTCTCCAGTTGCACAACCTTGTGGTTCCTTACAGTGCGGAACGTGACGAGCGGCTCCATGTCGATGAGATCTTGCGCCACCAGTCTCTGGATTGCGCGCAGATTCACCCATAGGTTGTTTGTATTGAACGTCTCGAACTTGTTGATGGCCCGGAAGTCGTCCAAATGTCCTGGAGGCACTTGGCTGGCTTCTAGGAGATGCGGTTTGTCCTTGTAGCTCACCAATGTGCCTCCCTGGACATCCGCACGAGTCTTCTCGGTCACTTCCATAACAAACTCCGAGTCTTCGTTGATCATATGGTAGAGCATGTCCAGATTCACTGTGGCACCCAAATTGTCCACGTTCGAGATGAAAATGTACTCCTTGCCCTGGTTAATAAGACTCTCCAGTAAGCCCGACTCAAACAGCGCATTGTAGACGTCACCATGGCCAGGAGGGAACCATTTCTCACGCGTCGAGCGATCGTACTTAGTGTTCGGCAGTGGCAGCATTGTCTCCTTGATGATGAACGGGTAACAGCTCTGGTTGAACGTGTGGATACTCAGATTGTGCATACGGTACTTGCGAATAATGCGCACAGTCTCCTCGTGGGTGTTGAACGAGTTCATGAGCACGAGCGGCACGTCTACACCGTACACGCTGTTCAAATACTACCAGAAAAAAACACACACATTAGCACTACAAATACACAGTCTTCTAGCGTCCTTTCGAGTGTAAAAGCCTGCGTACCTCCACTTGACGCACAGTAAGGTCAAGAAAGGACAGGTCTTGGCGCACTTCGATCGCGCTCTTGGGTCCTTCGCAGCCCAGCGTCGTACCGAGGCCGCCATTGAGCTTCAAAATGACCTGCACAATTATACAAACGATTGAGATTACTCCTCGATGGTCATTACCACGCTGAAGTCACGTAAACAAAGCTTACCAGCTTGTCCAGCAGCTCGTGACGCAGATTCATGTCGTTAGGACAGCTTTCCACCGACGTGTTACTCGTCAGCATGCCGCTCGTCGGCGGCTTCACTGAATTCCTGTGCCAGCAATAGTATCAAGGTACTATGGTCAGCTTAATCAATAGCTCAACCTTTGTCAGAGACGGATTACTATGTCGCACCAGTCGATGGAGGTCTTTTTGACCTTGGAGTATTTACGAAAGAGTTTTAGGAAGTTCTTCCGCTGGCGGTTGCCCATGAGCTCCTGTGACGCTAGCGCCTACAGTCGAGAAGAGCAAGAGCGGTCAGGACATATCAGGTACTTCTTCGAGCTACTGTCGGCGCCGTACCTCGGCCATCTGGTCATCGATGGAGAATCGCGCCGGCATGTGTGTCTTGTAGTGCATGTTCTCGTCACGTGGCCGGCGACTGGGGGAAATGGAAATGAGTTGGAACGAGCTCAGAACGCTGCTGATGTCACAAGGAGATTGGCACGCTTGAACCTGCTTATTTGATCGCGAGCTGAGGTGGCCCGTGTCCTATGCACCTGGTACGACGTATAGTATACACCAGCGGGTCTTCATTGTGTAGGATACATCGTTTAGCATCGCAGCTCAGAAATTCGAAGCTTAAGGCGGAGCGGACTCAGATGGATCTCGAAGTGACCTAAAACTGAGACTTTGCCAGTCATTTGTATGGAAAATGGCAGTGTCGCAAGGTCATTTTAAACTCAGGATCCTTTTACTCGGATACCATGCGCATGGGGGAGGCTCGACCGCTGCTCGCGCGCTCGGTGGGCTCGTCCGCGGGCTCCACGACCAGCTCCAGACGCGTGCGTATCCACCGCTGGCAAAGTCTCAACGCGCCGCAGTACTACGAGACCATCTACAATACGCGTGCGTGACTGTAGTTGCCCGTTTAGCTATTGTAGACACTAACCGTGTTACCTATACCTCCAGTGGTAAACTATGCGCCTGCCAGTGTTGTGGCATTTGGTGGACTTGCACTGTTCATCGGCGTGCTCGTACTGATCCACACGCAACATCTCGTGGCTACGGCCGATCTCCCACGCAGCCCTTTGACCACGTTGAGCCCCGTTGTGAGCCCGGTGGAGGCTCAGATCTACGCAGATACCAGCAATTGCTCGGAGCTTTGGATCGCTCAGCGTATCGACCACTTCTCCTGGCTCCCAGCAGAAGCAGTAGATGCTGCAGATCCCAATGCCGCGCCAAGTGGTCTACCGGCTACATACAAACAGCGATATCTGCTAAACACGCAGTTCTGGGACCCGAGCGACAAGAAGGCGCCTGTGTTCTTCTACACAGGCAACGAAGGAGACGTGACGCTGTATGCCAACCACACAGGCCTCATCTGGGAGAACGCACAGACGTTCAAAGCTCTTGTCGTGTTTGCCGAACACCGCTATTACGGCAAAAGCTTCCCATTTGGTGACAAGTACATGGACCATTTGGGTTACCTTACTCATGATCAAGCACTGGCCGACTACGCGGAACTTATTTATCATGTACAGAAGAAATACGACGCCCTTAACCACCCAGTCATCGCGTTTGGTGGTAGCTATGGCGGCATGTTGTCAGCTTGGTTCCGCATGAAGTATCCGAGCATTATTGCGGGTGCTATTGCGGCCTCTGCTCCGATTTACGGCTTCGGAGGCTTCCCTGCTTTCGACGGACAGAAGTACTGGCAAGTGGTGACCCGAGATGCTTCTCCAGCGGCAGGAGCAGCGAAGAACTGCGTGCCGAACGCTCGAAAAGCTTGGCCACAGATCTTTGAGCTTGCGCAGACGGAGAATGGGCGTTCTACACTGTCCTCCATCTTCAGATTATGCGAACCACTGACAACTGAGCAGCAAGGCGAAGACCTGGCGATGTCGGTGCTGTTCGCTTTCGACACGCTGGCCATGGGCAACTTTCCGTACCCGTCCAGTTACCTTACAGGCGGTGCAGTGGACCTTCCTGCGTGGCCTGTTCGTGAAGCGTGTTCGCATTTGGCCGGCGACTTCCCAGCGTCAACGTTAAGGCAGGAAAATGTGGATACGAAGCTGTTGGAGGCGCTACGTGACGCCGCCAACGTGTTCCACAACGCGACTGGAGACTTGACGTGCTTCAAAATCCCTACTTTGTGGGACTATGACGGTATCTGGGACTACCAATACTGCACGGAGATGTTGCCACAGGAGACGTATTTCAGTACGAACGGAGAGACGGACATGTTCTGGTCGCGCAATACGACGTTCGAGGAGATTCGTGCACACTGTCAACGTGACTGGCACACGACGCCAGACCCGAACGGGATTCGTGTGAGCTACGGCGACGATATGCTGCGATCAGCGTCTAACATTGTCTTCAGCAACGGACTGCTAGATCCGTGGAGCAGTGCAGGTGTTCTACACGCCCCCCAAGACGCGAAAGTGACGATCGTGGAGATCGCCGAGGGCGCCCACCACTTGGATCTATTCTTCAGCCACCCAAAGGACCCGCCGTCGGTCATCGCCGCTCGCAAGACTGAGATCAGAATGATCCAGAAGTGGGTCGACGAATTCATAGCTTACAAGTAAAAAAAAAGTCAGGACATATAAATACTTTCCCACTGCAATTAATGACGTACGATGTATCTTGATTGGTAAAAAAAAATCGGAGTGGTTACTGCTACATGCTCATTACAAAAATGATACGAATATGTACCTGGTAAGTGGTTCGAGGCTATCCAACGTAAATAAATAACTTCGCTCTCGCTACCTGCGAAATTTTATCAATGATTTGCGTACCGCTCGCCATCCGTTCAGTCGGCCATTTGCGAGGGGGAGGCAGACGCCGGAAGAAAGGAGGGCGGACAAATGGCCCCGAGCCACAGCAAGCGAGACGAAGCGTAAGGTGTGCGTGGGCAAAGTATATGTTGTCTACTAATCGAGTGTTTGTTTGTAGAAAAGCTCTAGCTCTAGCGTGTCTAATTTTGAGCCAGAGAGCAGCAGCAACGACGAGTCTAGCTCGGTATGGCCACCCCCTGCGAAGATTCGGACCAAAACAAAACGTGTTCCCGTCAGCAAGGAGGAAACTGCAGCTCTGGGTTCGTCGGAATCTGTTGGGGGATCTCCTCGCGGGGAATACCGATGCCGATTAATGAAGGAGACAGTTTTCCAAACCTGGCAGGCTCTTTTGAGCGCATTTGACGACTACTGTGAAGCTACACACCAACCTTTCAGGTATACTTGCTACTCAGAAGAAATTATGAAAAGGAAATTGACTTATTGGTATGACTGGACTAGAAAAAGAAGCTCGATTAGTGCCTCAAGTCGCAACAAGGCTGGGAAAAGGACGTGGCGGTATCCAGTGGAGCCCGAAGAAGAGAATTTGTACCAGATAATATTTATGTGCACGCACGGTTGGTCGACTAGAAGTCGAGGTGAGATTATATACTTTTGTTCAGCTTACTCATGACTAATAGTTGCAAAATGAATATGTTTTCAGGCAAAGGAATCCGACCAATGCAAAACTTTCGTGGCTGTGATTGTAAAGCGCAGATTATTGCAGCGCTGAAGCGCATCAAGGTTGCGGAGAACCAGTTTGGCTTTGCTGTTTACGTCACGAAGCAGCACACGACGCACACTCATCCATTAAACGGAGACGCTTGGAGGGCGTATGCTGAGTACCGACGTGTCGAGGACCCGGAAATCATCGAGATGGTTCGAAAGTTTGTTGCAGTGGACTCTAAGTTTGGCAAAATCCATCGCTATGTGATTGACAACACTGGTACGCAAGTTAACATGTAAAAATTGAATGTAGATATGGCTGTATGTAATCGTATGTGACTGTTGGTGTTTGTTTTTGTCTTAGATAAGGAATTCACATCACGGGACGTCCGAAACATGATCAGGAGTATTCAGACTGAACTAAAGGTTGAAAGTGTCGACGAACGAGTTAGACACCTGCTCGATGACTTCCAAAAGGCAGACCCTGGAGACGTAGCTCAACGCTGCGTAAATGATGGCAACGTGGCAACGTGCTTAACATTTCAAACTGTCGGCATGAGAAAGATTTTTGCATTGTTTCCAGAGATTTTGCTAGTTGATTCGACACACAAGACAAACGATCTCCGGTACAAGCTGTTTTCTTTTATGGTCATGGATGCCTACGGAAAAGGGCAATTTGTCCAGCATGCGTTTGTTGACCAAGAAACTAGTGAAAACATGGAGAATGCGATTGAAGCCTTTCAAGCTCATAACTCTGATTGGGGTCAAGTTGAAGTTATTATGGTGCGCGCAATCCAAAGTCAGTGTAATGGTTGTATTTTTTCGTAACTGTGTTTTGCTGCACAGGTTGATAAGGACATGACAGAAATTGGTGTGTTGGAAGATATGTTTCCTAATGCACGTGTTCTTCTCTGTCGCTTTCATGTGTTGAAGTGGTTCAAGCAGATCAAAAGTACGCTCGCAAGATTGATTTCAAAGACAAGCAAGTACTAACAACCATTGTTCGACATTATTTGAAGCTCGTTTAGATTTTAGCAATGAACTTCAAAGCCGTATGCTTTTGTCCATCAAGCAAATGGTGTACGCTAAAACGGAATTTGTGTATTTGGAAGCTCGTGATGATCTTTTTGGCGAACTGAACCGGCTTTGGCGTGAGAAGAGGAAGAAGAAAGTACAGCCAGATACCGAGGGCGTAGCGGAAGATGACGTGGAGGATATTCATCCGTTCGTGAAGTATTTTAAAGATAATTGGGATGGTTGTCAGAAGCGCTGGGTCGAGTACTTACGTATGGATATCCCTCACCTGGGATATAACACGAACAACCGCATCGAATCAGGATGGAGCAAGCTCAAGCCTGAGCTGAATGCCGATACACCGCTAGATGAGTGCATGGAGACAATCATAGCACGTCAGCTGTTAAAAGAGTGCGAGTTTACACGAAAAACTAATGTTAGTGAGTGCTGGATTAAATATTCTAGTTTTGAATGCTTACTTGTGTTTGTACATGATATGCAGCGGATCGGTGTGACTAGGCACGCTGAGTACGATGAGGAGATGAACCGGTTACTGAACAAGACCACTGACCACGCAGCAGAGCTAGTTTTTCCTGGATAAGCGTACGAAACCAAAGTAAGTGACGCATGTGAGAGTTTGTGGTAGTATGTGATCGTATGTAATTACTTACTCGTATGTGACTTCAGATATCGTCGATAATGGCGTACCAACAGACACAAAGCAATGTATTTCTCGTGAGCAGCAATGGAAGGGGAAATCTCGAGTACACAGTGGACACGGAGAACTGGGATTGTACTTGCTCTTTTGCAAGGACCATGCTGCTACCTTGTCAGCACGTGATTTATTTCCGCCGAATGGTACGACAGTGTATAGATTGTTGCTTGGCTCTGTGGACTAACTGATATTGTTGGTGATAATATAGTTGAGTAAGACTCCTGTGGCTCCCATTGATACCATTCATCAGCGCTGGCGAACTTACTATGATATGCTCGATGCTACTGATGTCGAGCCTGTGCAAAACGTTCAAGTGAAAAGGATGCAATATCAACCGTATGTGCTGGATGAACGTCTGAAATGGAGGAAGTTCAAGACACTGCAAGACAAGGTAACCGAAGTTGCCGTTGCTAATGGCACGCAGCGGTTTAGGCAGTTGTACGCAGCTCTTGAAGCATTTCTAGGCATAATCGAGGCATCAGGTGTACCGCTCATTAGCGAAGCACCGTGGACACAGCGTAAGGACAGTAATTGCAGTGATACTGGCATTCAAAAGTGCGGGAGTGATGAAGATGAAAGGGTTCCAGAAACGCAGCCAACCAAACCTGACGAATCCAGGCAAAAGCCTGTGGCCGTACGTGTAGATGAGCCCGTGACCGCACCCACGGATACAATTACTGCACCGGAAGGCCCCACTGAAGAACCCACTGCAACTTTGATTTCGGCACCATTTAAGTTGAACAGGAAAGTTAAGGTGAGCGGCCGGCCAAAGACGACAAAGGCCACCCGAGCGTGGTACCCTAAGCAAGCAAAGCCGTCTACGTCAAAACCATTTCGCTGGAGTACGAGAGCTCTGAAGAATCCGACAACTGCATGACTCCTGAGCAGTACAAACCTGGACCTGTCATTTGAACTCGTTTGTGATGCTCCATACGAACTATTCACGTACAATGGTTGGTACGACTTAGTGATGAGTTTCCCAATTGTAAGAGTGCAAACTATGGTAGTACCCACAGCGTACAAGATCCAGAAAGAAGATTATAGCAGACTACCAGTCCATGGAAAATTCAACGTACTTAGCGTAGGACTGGTGAAGTTAGCGACCAAAGCTGTGACGTCGTACAAAAAGACGCTGGAGCGGGAGGCAAGGAATTGGCAAAAACTACTAAGATGGAGACGAAGACCTCGCTAGACAAGCGCATCGATCTGTCTTCTGAGAGTGGCCTAGTTGTCAAATTTTACCCGAGCCTTGATGAGAACGCGACGGTGTATTCGGATTCGATTATTGATACCATGGCACGTTTTCATGAGAAGCGCAAATTTTTAAAGAACGTGGATGCTTGCTTGAAATGGATTGTGGCTCAGGCACATAGGAGATCAGTGGCTGTAGACCGTGTCGATGAAATAACCTCGGCTCTGCGAGAGGCATCTGTGTATGCTTTGATAAAGATCCGCGACGAAGAGGTATGTACTTGTTTTCGGTATGTGAATATGTGATGGTATGTAACAGCATGTGCTTATAACGACATGGTTCGTCGCTGCTGCAGGTGTGTTTCGTATACGAGCTTCTGGCGTTTCGCAGCAAGGAGTGGCTTAATGACATGTGCATTCGACTTGCTATACAAGTGATGACTCAAGATCGAAGTGATATCGTGTACGTGGATGGCGCCATGTTTGAACACATCCAGCCTCAGGAGATTCATCTGAACGAGAGGCTCTGTGATGTATTTGATCGGCAATCGGGTATGATACTTATTCCAATTGCCATTGAAAACAAGCACTGGTGTCTTTTGATTGTTGATTTCAACAAGAAATACATCATTCAACTCGATCCCATGCAGCATCAACCAACCTAATCATTTTTATCCAAGACATGCAAGTCGTATCTTGCCCCGCTTCTAAGGGGAAAATATGCAGGCTACACAATCAAGAAAGCCGACAATATCCGCCAAGAAGATGGGCATAACTGTGGAGTCATCGTCATTTACTACATGGAAAGCTACATCAGCACCCGCATCGTGACGAATCCAAATCAAGTTTTGCTCCAGAGTATTCGACTAGCATACTTTGTTCAAGGTCTCCGTCGACTCTATCCCGACAAAGACCTTCGCTTTTTTGGCTAGTATCATCGATTACAGAGATGACGGACAAGTTGGAAGTCGGAGTTGACAGCACTAGCCAATCCATCAATGTATCTCTCAGTTGAAAGTTCCTTACTTAACAGTCATTTGTACATGTACCTCATTTATCATTCCACAACACTGAAAGTGCCTCATTTAATAATGTGGCGAACCTCTGTCTTACTTATATCGATTTGGTAATTTACCGCGACAGAATAAATTATCGTGTATAAACGTGTGTTCCTGACGTACGTGGACGATATGTGACTCACATATCGCCCACATACACGAACTATTTATGGAATGAGTATGTAACAGCATACACCGCCAAAAAAAATGCATTTATAAAAAGTCATTGATTTATTGTACAACTCATTTGTCAGCACCATGCCTGTGCATATGAGGCAGAGGACTATAAGGGATGATAGTTTGGGTACAATAAGGGACGACGGATACCCGAGACCCTCCTCCGAATGAAAGAGACCTTCATTTCATCTTTTGCTGCTAAGACCAACACGTGACGAAGGCGCTAATGGATCTGGCAACCACAAGTCGAGTCTACCAAGCTGCTATTGCTGCAGCCCGGTCTGCGGATCAGAGACTCGAGAGCCGGACGCGTAGCGACTGCAGCAGCACTCTTCGACGATTTTCAGCGTTCTGCAAAAGTGAAGGCTACCCAGACCCACTGAAGGAACGATTTGTGGAGCTTCCCGGTGTGGTGGCCGCGTACATCAACTTACTCGCCGCCTCCAACTCAACTCAATGGCCCGCTGAAAAGCTTCGCGCTGCGCTTAGCTGGCACTACACGAAACCTGAGATGCTAGCCGGTGGCCACCCACACGATCGTTGGGTTGCTGAGACTTCTTTGGACGGCACCCCAGCACCGCGAGGCAGCCCAGCACGGTCAGCAGCCATCACGCAGATTCTCGCCGGTCTCAGCAAGTCCAAGAAGTGCGGGCGGACTCCAAAGCATGCGTCCCCGATGTCCCTGTTGATGCTGACGAAGGTCATTACATTCTTGGAGTCGAGTTCGATGTTCAATGAAACCATGCGGCTGTGGTTTTCAGCGGTTTGTTCTCTCAGCTTCTATGGTATATGCCGTATCAACGAAGTCTTGCTCATGAGAAGGACGACATTCAGCTTGGTCTCAAACGAAAACGCGCGTGGATAACAGCGACATCGAGTTTGGCTGTTTCACTATTCGTGACCGGTAGACAGATCATGATCCCCTCGCAAGTCGAACCTACTCACTCCAGCATCTCACGAAGGAAGAACGGGCAGCTGAAGCATTGTATTTCTTGGATAGATGGTTGACGTGCGCGCGGACGAAGTTTCACCACATCTGACGTAACAGCGGCTATGCGTTTTCATCATTGACGAAGATATGACGTGGCAAATCCAAGAAGCGAAGGAGGGAGGCAGGAGTTTTGGCGAGCGGCGACTCTTTTGCTGACGTGGGAATAGAATCGGGCTCGCCGATGTCAGATAGCAACTTTACTCAGGTATTGGACATTATCGCTGAGGCCGCTGGAACCAGCCGAAACCTGCTTGGTGGCGAGATTTGGTTTACATCCCACTGTTTCCGTCAAGGTGGTGCACAGTACCGGTTCGTGTTTACCCCTGAAGATCGACGGTGATCACTGAAGCTCAAGAAGTGGTGGGCGGGGTGGGCACCAAGCAAAAGGTCTGAGACAGTAACTAGATATCTGCAAGATGACGTACTGGGTCGAGAAGAGAGCCAGCTGGGCGACTCACTGTCCCTGGACACGACGTCATACAGCAGCGCAACCCTCGAAGGTATACGGGATATCGACTATGGAGGCTCCCAGCTATCAGACGACACTACACAGGATACTCAGGATACGGCCGAATCATAAGGCGCACAAGAGCACACAGATACCTCTAGTACCGAGTTGGGAGAGCTGAAGTCGCTGATTCAAGGGCTGCATGACAGGACCAAGACTATTAGCGAGACACCGCGTTCAACCCAGGAACGGTTGTGTGACGAGGATATTGAAGTGCCCGCGGCTGGTAATTTTGAGCCATATGATACGACAGCACTAGTGTCTGAACTGGCGGACGCCAAGTCGTGGAAAGCCTATGTTCGTCAGTACACTGAAATGCAAACTCGGACTACCACCAGAATCGCGCGGGAGTTGACATGCTTTCACATGAGCGAAATGTTTATCGCCCGCGTCTCTCCAGGATGAAGACCATCGCCGCGTTCATTCGCGAGCAGTACGAAGATGACCAAGACACGTTCGAGAAGGACTCCACAACCTTTATTGGCGAGGAAATCACCGTCAACAAGATCATTGCAGCAGTTTGTAAGCTTCGTAAGCGAAGGAGAACCAGTGAAGTAGCAGTGTACAATAAGGGATACAATAAAAGACGACAGTAGTAGAATTGAGGGGGTTAGTACAGCAGAGGACGATGGTACACTAAGGGACGACAGTACAATTAAGGACGATGGTACCGTCGTCCTAAATTGTACTATCGTCCCTTAATGAACTTTTGATACTTACAGATTTCACTACAAAAATGAAACGATGAATTTGCCTCATCGCTGTCAGAAGGGCTGCTGAAGTCACTCCCGTGATATTTGTCGACGCTGTCGTCTCCATCGTCTTGCGCAATTTCTGATTCTTCTGATTCTACATCCGGTTCTTCATACTCAAAGGCGAAAAAATATGAAAAACACAAAGCGAGGTGCGGCAAACACACACGAGCCGGGCTTGCCACATAGATTAGAAGTGAAGACGTGATCGTGGCACTGCTGAATAGGCCGCTTTCTCCGATTGGCAGAGAGCCGTCCATCCCGCCCATCCCTCATGATCGCCCAGCGATTCACCCACCTCATTTCCGGATTTCCTCCAGGGGCTAGAAGAAGCCGGGGCGTACCACGGCCATCCGGGGGATGGCTCGGCGGCGGCACCGGAGTGGAAGACCTGACTGTGTCCCGCGTAGTGTGTTATCGGACTCGATGCCGAAGGCTTGTGCAAAACGAGTTGATGGATTCGTCCCCGTACCCCTCTAGCTGATGGTTTTTGGCGGTGAGTTTGCTGACATGTTATGCATGCATGCATCGGCCAATCAAGCGTGTAAGTATATGAATTAATACATATATAGAATGATCACCGATGCTTGTCTTCTTTTCAAACTACTCTTCCTCTGCCTCTACCTCAAAGAAAGCGCGCTCAACTCTGCGGCGATTGCGTTGCCTTTACTGACAAAGCTCACCCGAGGGTAGATTTTCTGCAGGTTCCCAAGTCAGATCCCAGGATGTAAGAAACAAAACACGACCGTATATCCGGCGGTCCTCGAGAATAGTGCGCATCTGGTAGGTTGGCCGTCCTTGCAGGTCGGTTCCAGATGGCAGCACCCACTCCGTTTCCCCTGCACCGTCCCCTTGCGAAGCTGTCTCGATGAGACGAGCCTTCGTGATACGGGCGTGAGGGACAGAATCTAAAAGTCGCTGAATAGCGGCTGCGATGTTTGGGGATTCGTCTGGATGACCCCACGTTCTCAAATATCTGGCAGCTGCCTGGTCGAGGCGGCCCCAGTCTCGGTTGCGAAGGTGCTGCTGGCACCACCGGAAAAACAGGTCGAGGCAGGTCGAGGGAGCGTCTTGAGTTGGGGAGTTTGTTGACATCGCTGTGCCTTTCAAGAATGACCTGAGGGATAGAACTCCTATACTACGTTGGTTTAAATTTCTGTGTCAGAGTTTTTTTTAACCAATTGAGAAAATACAAAATGTCTGGGAAACATATTTATATTGACCTTAATTAGATTTTTTACAGTCAATTGGGAAGAGGTAAAACGTTCTGGCTCACAAAAAATGCTATTTCTGCTAACCTCAGTCCTAATCTTTGCTCAGGGCATGTCCGTTTAGCAGCGGCCGACCGACTGGCACACGAGTGACCATTGTATGCGGTTGTCGTCGTTTTCTTGGAACAGAGCGGTTGACAAGCATTTTATTGCCATCTAAGCCGGTGTAGCACTTGACCTGGAGAGTTAACACCACGTGAATGCAAATGGCGAAGTTGAAGTTGTACTTGCAAGGACAGGTACCCCTACTCACATCAGTCTCCTTCCGGCTGCCCCTGTAACTCCATTCGTGCGTAGTTCACACCCAGCTGGCTCGACACAGGTGTTACCGCACGACTGCGTCCCAACTCAGGCAATAATACACGCTCGCAGCTACACGACTGAACACGAACAACGTTGAGATTCGGGAAGTTCAGCAAAAATGCGATGCAGGCGCGGTTAGGAGCCTTCCCGACGATGACATCGCGCTTTCTGAAATCTTGAACTCAGGATTTAAGTTGATTGATGGCATCAGCACTCTCCTTGAACGCTCGTGGTGTTACAGACTGGTGGCCACAACAGTCCGTTAGTATCCGAACCAACATGCCAATTTTGTGTTTGGTACGAAGTGTGTAGTTGCGCTTGATCGTAAGTCTGATACGGGAAACGGGTCCGACGTGTAGCCATTCCCGGTGGGCTTGACAGCTAAGCGTCTGTTTCGTAACGCTGCGCGTGACGCCTCAACGTTCGTGTACTACATGGATGCCACGTTTAAGCTAATCCAAGTGGGTATCCAGTGATCGTTTGCGGTATATCCGACAGGTGTCGCTCATTTCATCTAGTGGCGTTGTTCATCACGTCCCAACGGCTGAAGTGACTTTATGTGAAAGCGCTAACGTCACTACGCAAGACATTTACGGCAGTGACGAACCAGCAGCTTCACCTTAAGTATGTGATGGCCCACGCTGAAGTTGCGCAGCAACGTGCCGTAACCGAAGTTTTTGGCGTCGACTAGGATTTTATCTACCTCATGTGTTTCTACCACGTAATCGCAAAAGTGCACGAGAAACGCAAGGGTACTATATCCAGCTTGTGTGAATAAGTGGTCGCTGATGTTTACGACCTTAACTTTGCATGTAGCCAAGAAGCCTATGAGGAACAGAAGGTGGTTGTATTCGAGCGGTGGTCGCGTGAAGAGCAACTGAGTGGATTCCTGCACTATTTCGAAATTGTGTGGATGAAGAGCGGGTTCTGCCGATGACAATGTTTTCATGCGCTAAGCGGATATGCGATGACGAACAATCATGTGGAGCAGTTTAACAGACTAATTACGCCGGCGATCATGTGGATATGGCCTCTGAAGAAGAAAAAGCTCACGCCTACCAGAATTGAATTCCACCAAATGGTACAAATGGTTTAATTGTGCTACCGACGTTCCCTTTGGCAAAATCTTACTGAAGTAGTTGTTTTCGGATGCCATCTACCACATTACTTTTATACCGCGTCACAACCGGTGGCCTCGCCGCTCTACTTGTAGTTGCCTAGGGGTATGACAACACGCGTGGTCGTTATAGTAATTGGCTCCGCAAATGCTTGTAAAACGAAATTGGCGATGGTGGGCTAGAGCACTCTTGGCTGTCTGCGAGACGAAATTACTTACGGTGCAACTTCAGGAAATGGCTAACAGGGCGTCTCAGGAGGCGTGGTCAATTACATCATTCATCGGCTAAGCGGTACCGTAGATTATACAAAGTATCTAAGAAAGAGCGCCGATATATATATTATATCGACATTCTTTCTGTGATGGATAGGGATTAAGTCTAACATTTATGTATCCATCGGGAGACCAAACGCAATATTAACATTAGAAAACCGCATTCACATCCAGGTTGCACGGGTGTTTCCCCTGGCCGACACAGGCAACATTCACATAGAAATTCGCTTTGTCAAGGCATGCGTAGGTACAACGTTCGAAAGACCAACCTTTATAAGCGCCCACGTAATAACTTCATGTAAGGGCGAGCGTTAATACATGTAATTTCGATCCGGCACAGTCTTGTCCCCATACTCTGATTAGTTGCGACATATCTTAACGTTCAAAGCGTATATCATGTCAACCAATCCGATCGAATTGGTGAGCCTCAGCAAAACGCAAGTGCTATAGTGTGGCAAGCGCTTCTCCTTATAAGCAAAAAACCATCGACGGCCATACCCGCTCGGGTGTCGAGCGAAGTCGGTCTCGCTCACCGTCGATTACGCAGATCACGATGATGCAAGCGGAGATCAGCCAATGGACTCAAGCAATTACGCCGGTGATCATGTGGAGATGGCCTCTGAAGAAGCAAAAAACGCACGCCTACCAGA